TAATTTATTTAATTATATCTCCTACACCTTAAGAGTTAGAAGCTTAACATTTTTAATGTTGACTCATATGTGCTTTATAAAATTTCGATTTTTTTTTTTTTAATTTGGCCTTTATATTCCCATTCTCCCATATATTTGTAAAAGGCTTGTTTCAAATACTAGAGACTTGTGCTTTGGCACATATTTCAATGTTATAATCACGATCTAAAAGCTGCATAGTCCATCGACAAGAAAAGTTATTAAACAATTGAGTTCCCATAGTAAGCCCACGCTGCAGGCCATGCGTATTTATGCGTGCATGCCTATGTGTCTCTCGAAGAGTTCAGGGGATATCGTAGTACAGCAGACTCGACTAGAGCTTTTTTACTTGTTTTTACTGTCAGTTTTCTCAACTCAAACATTTCTATTTAAATAAATTAACAAGTAAGAAGGCTCTAGTCGGCTCTGTTGACTGCGCAGTTGGCAGCGACTGCGCTTGGGCTGCGCTGCAATGTGGACAATATTATGAGTGTTTTATTGTTGAATAATTTCTCTTTTAGTAAGACTATCTTTATGAAACATTCAGATGTAAGACGTAATCATATGGTGAAAATGTGTACATTCCAAAGCACAAGTCTTTACTTTACTTGAAATACGTTTTTTTTTTTTAATTGCGAGCGAAAGGGGCGTGGTATCCAAAAGTTGCAAGTTACAAAATCTTCGTATCCATTAACTGTATATACACAGTAACCTAAGCAATGAAGTTTCTAAGTCTAAAAGTGCTCAAAATTGACTGATAATTCTCGATAAAAAAGTTATCGGATGAATTATCGAAAAAATAAGATAAACTTGTACTGCCTATGGTATACACGAGTATGCATGTCAAATTTCAGCTCTTATATCTTCTGAGATCGGCTTGCTCATACGGACGAACGGACAGACAGACAGGGCTATATCGACTCAGCTCGTCGTCCTGATATATATACTTTATAGGGTCTGCGATGATTCCTTCTGCCTGTTACATACTTTTCACAAAACAAATATACCCTGATTTCCCATTTTCAATGGGTTCAGGTTATAAACATATGTATTTGCTTTGAGTATGTTGAAAACGAATGACCTGGGATTGGCATTGTTGAGCTTTCATTTAATTTAAGACTGTCTACGATTGCAATTAAAACATTCAAAGCCACCTGGGATAAAGTGCTTGTTCACTCTGATATGAAATTTATATTTAATCGAGAAGCCAACGCAAAAGCTCTCGAATATGCTTGACTTATGAGCGCATATATTTTTAATAGCTTGGGCTTGCCAATTGTTACCACATTTGCAAGCAATTTAGATTAATTAAAAGGTTTTCTCAGAGATATGTTAAGCAGTGTGCTCGACCAGCGTATACCCTATGGCCCGGGTGTAAGGTGCCAGCTTGAATGATTGACATTCCCGGTTCCTTGGCAAAGACATCTGCAGTGCTTGCTCTTCCAAAAGATGTGTTGGACAGTGTGCTCGACTAACATATACCCTGCACTCCTGGCGTATCCTTTCTGTTCAATCAATACAGGTTCCTTGACCAAATTCTTCCAAAATACTCACACTCGTTTGATTTATTCATAATTTGTAAATTCATCACAGTGCACTATGGGGCAAAAGCCCGATTTTTTTTGGAAAAAAATTTTATTTTCAAGTTGAATAAATTTACATAATTTTAATGCCAATTCCTGAGGAATACCCTGAATGTAAATTTTACAAAGAATTTTAACAGAGGCGCGATCTGCTAACAAATAGCTGTTAAACAGAGCTGTTATGTATGACACGCACATTATCAGTTTTGTACAAAACTTTATATGAATTTCAATCGCCAACTGAAATAAAAATAATGACAATTAGATTAAATTTTTGGTGGCAAATATGGAATCGGGCTTGTTCTTACGTGTTTGTGTTGTCCAAAAGCTGTCATTGACATCATTTAAAAAAAAAAATGGTTGTCTTTGTTAAGAGAAATGATTCATTTCTGCATCTACATCTATATGCCCACAAAAAAAGTTATTAAACAATTAGGTTCTCATAGTAAGCGCACACTGCATCCCATGTGTGTTTAGGCGTTGGTGTTTGTGTGCGTGTATGTGTGTTTGTGTGCGTGTATGTGTGCTTGTATGTTTGTGTGTGTGTGTGTATGTGACGCGAAAAATGATTGAAATAGCTGTTGCTCGAAGGGTTCAGGGGATCTCGTAGTCGAGCAGTCTCGACTAGAGCTTTCTTACTTGTTTTATTTCAAAGGCCCATATATGCCATTAAGTGTGGAATATGACATCATTCAAATGCCCGCCTCGGCTTCTTACGGTGAAGCGTGTCCGAGCGTATCCCTATCAACGTTGTCTTCAAAAAATTACGGAGCAATGACGCCGCCGGCTCGAAATCCACACCAAATGTTAGTTAGAATGCTAGGGTATTTTTCTCTACTCAAAATTTAACGGAGCAAATTGTATTCTGCGTAGTCAAAGTGTCAATCGTGTGACTTCACCTCTTTATATATGTACTTATAATCATATACCCGATTGTTTGACTGAGTGATTCATTTAAACATCTCACGTGAGTTTATTTCGCACTGTCCTTAGCCTATTCATAAGCCTGTATACATACATATTACGAACTGTACGATAGTAAAGCGCAGATAAGAACTGCCAACATTTCCATCTGCATTTGGGGAAAACTCGCCTACCTGTCTGTCGTTGACTAAACGATTCTATGCACTGTGTGCGTGCATAAAATGATGTCAGCTTTGCTGAGAGTATATGCGCCTTAAACATAAGCGAAGTATTAATCGCGACTTTTCGACCACGTTGAGCTCAAGTTAGCTTTCGAGCGATTTGCGCGCGATAAAAGTCGCGCGTGAACGTGACAATCGACACGTTGCTTCGCGTCGGCTACATTAAAGTCGCGAACAAACAAAGCCAATCCGCCGCCTGCCCTTATGATGTTTCTTGCTTCCCACTTGTTCACCGTTCACAAAAGGTGGGCGGATATTCACTCTCTCTTAAAGCTGTAAGCTCATTCGGTCCCTTGCACAGGCCTCGACTGTCCCAGGCACGAAAGCCTCGGCCAGATTTATTCATTCACCGCTCGAGCTGTAACTTATGAAATATTTAGTCACTGCAAAAGGTAAATGAAGCGCCTATCAGCTGACCTAGCCCGGCTGAACTTGTTCACGTGCTCCGATATTATGGCTCCCGCATTAGCCGCCAGATCCCGAATCCAACAATTTGCACTCAATTGCAATTTCCGTGGCGTGTCGTCGGCTTTTGCGTTGCGTCATTTCCATTGCTACGTGGCCGTCTGCATCCGCTTGTCGATGTGTTGGGCGGCGTTCAACTGCTCAACTTCTTCACTGCTACATTGCTCCACCGACCCACTATCCCGCTCTGGCCGCGCATCACCCATCCTTCTCGCCTCGCCGGCACGTACGAAGCGAACGGCGCTTGCAAATGGGAAATGCGCAGAAATTTGCTCAGCCATTTGTTGTTAGTTCTTGCCGATTGTTAGTTGTTCGTTGCTCATTGTTCGTTATTCCTCGATGGCTGCTTACATGTTGTTCCTTCATTTTAAAATATCAATATAAAACGTGACAGTAGGCAGCTGAAATTCCTGTAGGAGCACGCTTTAAAACATATTTCAGTCAAGTCCTTAAATGAGCCTGTTGGCTCGGCCACTGCTTGAAGTCCACAAAATCTGGAGCCTGAATTGGTATTTCAACAATTATTCGCGTATTTCTGCTTACACAAGAAACGCACGCACAGACGCACATAGGCATGCCGCATAAACACGCATGGACTGCAGTGTGGACTTAATTGTTTAATAACTTTTCTTGTGGATGGACTATCTTCATGAAACTTGTAGATCATGATTATAACATTGGAATGCGCGCAAGAGCAAGTCTCTAATATTTGAAATACGCCTTTTATAAATATGTGGGTGAGGGGGTGGATATAAATAATTAAATTACAATAAAAATCGAAATTATATAAAATACATATAAGTCTATATTTAAAGTTTGAAAAACTCGGTATGCGCGTCATATACACGGACCCAGGAAAAAAATTTCTCTAGCTCATATGTATCTTCTGAGATCGACGCGTTCATACATACGGACGGACGGACGGACGGACAGGGCCAAATCGATTAAGCTCGTCTCCTTGTGGGGTCTGCCACGCCTCCTTCTGCCTGTTACATACTTTTAACAAAACCATTATACCCTGATTTCCCTTTTTCAATGGGTTCAGGGTATAAAAATAATTTTTACAGTTAGTAAATGTAATTGTAAATGATACAACTACTTACTGCTACTTACTACTTACTTATTCCTGAAAACAATTGAGGAAATGGATTAGGAGAACATATCTAGATATTATAAATTTTAATTATTTGATATTAGCTCTATCTTCGTTTTGAGGAAAACAAACTCTTTCGACGAGCAAAAGTGAATTTATCTATAGACTGACGTAACAGTTCTTAAMAGTTAATTTGAATAGGTGATGTCAGCTATTTTCAGGATAAGTTCACATATTTTAATTACTCACATCCAGTCCGTGCCATAACGTTGGGCTTAACATCCAAAGTAAATGTATTTTGAGTGCTTTGTCTGACACATTTGCCTGCTTGGCAGGCAGTCTGTGTCAGACTCATTTGATAAGTGAGAAGTTAGCCTTGATATATTTCCCAAATTTGTAGTAAAAAAGCCTAACTTATTTCCAGTTTTATCTATAGACGGCGAGGGCATGGTTAATCTACTAGGATATCTACCGAAGCGTCTGAATCGGGCCAAGTACAATGAGGACGAGCTAAAGATAAAAATCAAGAAGGCGTCCACGCTGGATACAATGCAGAAGATGCTAAGCAGGCTGTCGATTCAGTGCTTTCATAAGTGTGTGCCAAAGCCAGAGGACTCCCTGGATAGCCGCCAGCGTCTGTGTATCTCCATGTGCATGGATCGGTACATGGACTCCTATACCCTGGTGGCGCGTGCCTTTGGCAATAGACTGCAGGCTGAGCTGAAGGAAAGCCTCGCGCAGCAGCAAGCGCAAGGCCAGTCATGATGAACCACTCATGAAATGGCAACAGCAACAGCAGCAGCAGCAGCAGCAACAGTTGCAGCAGTAGCTGCATCATTCGGATCTTGGCAGCCAGCAGTTCGGTGTTAGTTCGATATTACAAAGTTGCCTTTGGATTAACTGATTATTCAAATATAATTCAAAACATTTTCGATACTGGTTCGAGCCGTGAGCCACAAAAATAAATTCCAGTTAAGTAAGGTCCGCAAACGTACAGACAGTGGGAGCAAGAGGTAGAGAGTGTGATAAGAAGGGGATACAGAGAGAGGGAAAGTTAGCGATAAAGGGGTATGGATCGGGTATCCGATGTGCACTCGAAGGAGCTGATACAACAGATGAAGCAACAGATTGCGTTGGCAAATGTCCAGGAACTACTAGCCATGGTGACCTGCAAATGCTTCGAAAAATGCGTCACGAAGCCCCGCGACCACTTGAGCGGACCGGAGGAAAACTGCATCCACATGTGCATGGACCGATTCCTCGATTCTTTTCGTCTCTGTGCGCACACCTACGGACATCGACTACGGCGCGAGCTCAGCCGTCAACACAACTGAGATGGGTATGGAGCCTCTAAGCTAACCTGAGCTGACCTGAACTGAGCTCACATGAACTATTACCGGAGTGGTTTGGACCCACTTAACAATGATTTCTATAGTCGAAATACATACACACATTCACTTTATTTTTATTTTTTTTATGTTTTACATGTTT